AATAGAGACGGAGTTATGAAGTAAATAAGTATAAACATGACTGAGTATATATTTTTAGTCAAAAACAATGAGGGGATAGCAATAAAAGATCTCTAATGGTCCAAACAACGCTGGAATAAGGCCTAAATATGGCCTTCACCCTGATTTATAGAAAATCTTTCTAAAACACGTAAGAAGCATGTAGTTTCAACAAATTTTTCAAATTTACAGTAGATACAGGACGCACCAAGTCATAATCCCCAATGGTGCATGCCAACACATTTGTCACCTATTATGTGTGCCACCTTAAAATAGTCACATGACATAAAATTCGGGGTTTCATACCCATAGGACTGGATTTACAATCGTTACTTACCTCAAACCGATCAAATCTCCACTCCGCAATCCTCTTGCCCCTCGAATCGGGCCCCAAACGTCCCTAATCTAGCTAAAAGCAATATAATGCAATCAATATAGGGCAAGGAACCAATTTAACAAGAAAAACTACTTAATTGGAGACAAATCTCTAAATTCACTCAAACCCGGCCCTCGAGCCCACGTATCGAAATTCGAAAAAATAATAAAACTAGAAAACCCATTCATTCACGAGTCTATCCATACCAATTTCATCAAAATCTGACCTCATTTGGTCCCTAAAATCCACAAATTACTCTCTCAAGAACTCTTCTATTTTCCCCCCAATTTTTCACCCCAAATTTCCAATTTAGATGATAAAAATCAAGATACAATAAATCTAACCAAAATCAAGTGAAGAACGTTTACCCCAATCACCTGTTTGAAAATCCCTTCAAAAATCGCCTTCTACCGAGCTCCCACTTCAATTTTATGATATGAACTCGAAACCTCATTTTGAATCTTTTAAATCTGCCAAGATATACCTTCATCGCGATCGCGGAACAATCCTTGCAATCGCGAAGCACAGTTATGCTACCCCACAAACTAACTCTATGCGAAAGCGGAATCTCCCACACAAACATGATTCTACGCCCCGACGAGCTACACGATCGTGAACCGCCTCACGCGTTAGGATGAACAAAACTCTTGACCTCAGTTCCTACCTTCTTTCCTATTCGGAAATGCGGCATAGACCACGCGTTCGTGTATCACTTCCCCTTGAAGCTCGAGGGAAGGCTGACCGTTGGAAGCAAACATCAACGAATAAAGCTCGAAGACCCAGAGGTCACTGTGTTTGATCTCTGGGTATAGAATATTCATCATGAGATCTATGAAGAGACTCCATGCATGCTTTGATTTAACATAACACAATAGATATCAAAAGAGTTGATGTTTCATTCATATGCTAGGGTTTCAAATTTGAGGGTTTTGAAATGTAGTGATGAAACAGGAAAGGGATCGGTGACAATCGTGAGTATGAGAGATAGAAGGTATGAATCTCTGTTGACTGGAAACCTTGCACGAATTTGGGCAAGGTTTCCTTACTGATCTGGTATGTGAGGTTGAGATGAGAGAGAAAAGGGAAAGAAGGGTGGTTGGGTAGAGGGAAATGATTTTAGGGTTTGAGGGATATGGGTTGGTCTCTAGGGGGTTAAAGTTTGGAGATGGGATTTGGGCCATTGATTCATTAGATCAACTGCCTTGATAATTCAAGGATTAAATAAATAAAATGAAGAATTATGGAGGATGTTGGATCTTTGGATTCAGACGGTGGATATTAAAGCTTATTGGGGTATTAGATTAAAGGAAAAAATGACATAACTGTGGGTCGTTGATCTGAAGGAGGGACAACCTTGATTGATTGTGTTTCTTTTGTGAGTGATATAGACGGGTGATGTGGCATGCTGTAACTAGTTCAAATGGGGTGGCATGGTTTTCGAAGTTGGAAAGAGATAGAGTGTTTGGACTGGGTCAAGTCCGGATTTGGGATTGGTATTGGGCTGAAATTAATTTAGAAGGTATCCATTGTGTCTTTGATTGTGCAACTGCAATTATAGCCATTTAGTCTTTAACCTCTTTAAAATAAATTTAATTATACTTAATTAATTTCAAATAAAATGTAGTTAAATTATAAATATAAAATATTCTACTAATTATTAAAATTAATTATTTCTACAATACTTTTTCTTGTAAATTACAATACTAATTTTTAATTATTAACACGATAATCTAATTAATAAAAATTTTATAAGAAGTAACTCGTTAAATTAATTATAAAAATCTTTATGGCATATTTAAAGAATTATTTTAATAGTATTAAAATAATAAGGATATTTGTAATTATATAATACTAATACTTAATTAATTGGTAAAATTTGGTATTCATTGATAGAAAATACTTTTAAAATATTCATTATAAATTATTAAGTACAAGCTAATTAATTTTAAAAGGGGGGATCAAAATTGACCGTCAATAGCTGCCCCTCTTTGACCATAGAGGATGAAAGAGTTGTCGGGCAAAACAATTGAACCAAAGTAAATTTTGTCCCGTCTTTAGGCATGCATTGCAGGAGTGGCACGAAGATTATGAGTTGAAGGATTGGGAATTAAGGAAGATTCTAGGAGGATTTTTGCAGAAGTTGGGACCGAATTCTGGCTTTGAATTGCTTACATACCTCAGGCTTGACAAGGATCAGGCCTCATGTAGTTCTGGAGTGAAGACTTTGAGGAAACGATGCTCGCAGTAATTTTCCTAATATCGTATTATGACAATACTGCTAGTCGAAGGATTTGGCACCACAATAGCTTGATTTTGCGGCGTGACTTGAAGGATTTGAAAAATTAGAGTTCTAGTGATCATTTTGAATTTTAGTATGGATCCTTGGCTAGCTAATGAGTTTGATGTCCCTCATAGTGTTGTAGTTTGGTCAGCTACTTAGAAGAGTTCCACGGTGCAATATTTGTTCCTGAAAAAATGAAATACACACATACCCATATATTTCAATGCAAAGTATAATAAGATGGGATGTAAATGATGCAAGAATGATGATTCCTGGATGACGACGAGCCGATTTTTCGGATTGGGATGATGGGATACTTGGACTTAACTCGATTTGTTAGTCGGGCTGTGTACCGTTCCGCAACTATTGGAGCATTAAAAAAGTTTCTCCGTTTGTTGAGAGAGCTTGACTTGTAGAGCGTGTCTATGCTTGTTGGGAGAGCTTTGCACTGAAAAGTTTCTCCGTTTGTTGGGAGAGCTTGATTTGTAGAGTGTGTCTCCGCTTGTTAGGAGAGCTTGATTTGTAGAGTGTGTTTCTTCTTGTTGGGAGAGCTTGATTTGTAGAGTGTGTTTCTTCTTGTTGGGAGAGCTTTGAACTAAAATGTAAAGTAATCTCGCCTTGGAGTACTTGACTTAAAACGTAATCGTGCTTGAAGCTGGACGAGTAAAACGTCAAAACATTCAAGATAATAGAAAAGGAAAAGAAAAGCATGCCCAAGAGATACTCTTCACTGCGAAGCTAAGTTGCGGCCATCGATTGGTTGAACATCGGTGGCGAGGTTTGCGACTGTCTATTCTGCCTCCGTTGTGACGGAATGACGGTGCAGATTGTTCTGTGAACAATTGTCTATATACAACGTTCGATTGGCAAAACTGACTTTTGATTTCGTACATAGCGCTCTGATCAATTGAGCAGATGATTTGCTATATGTAGTGCTCCAGTTGGTGAAGCTGGCAAATCATTTTGTACAAGGTGCTCTGATCGGTTGAGCAAATGATTCTCTATATACATGGCTTCAATTAGCGAAGCCAACGGTTTGTTTTTGTACAAGGTGCTCCGATTGTTTGAGTAGGCGGTTTGCTATATACAGTGTGCCTTTTCAAAATACTCCGGGATACTTGTAAAGGATTCAAGAATTAGCTTCAATTGTACCGGAAAAATTAAAAAAGGAGAAAGGTTGATATTCCTTGGAAAGTGGCGAATCCATCATTTGCCCCAATGTAGTCCCAAAATTTCTTTGCATCCTATTGACCTTGCATTCAAAGCAAAATTCTTAGTTCGAGCGAGGTTGGTTTGTCTCGACCACTGTATCAATGTTTCCCCAGTGTTTGATATGGATGTGCCACAAAGTTCGATATATGGAACAAATTATTGTATTTTATTAAACATTTTTTGAAAATTTTCTTTTAAAAAGCAAGTGCCCTCATTCCGAAAATCATGCCATGCTACGAAAGGTTCTCCAAACGCGAGCGTCGCTTCTTGAAAACTCCATCTCATTGATATCGATCTTCTGTGATGATTTGTCAACGTTGTTGCTTGCCGTCATGATTGCATACTAAGTAGAGCTAATGCATTACAAAGGTTTTCATATGGTTATTTACCAAACCCCTTCAGGTTGCCTACATATCCAAAATGGAATCAGGTCTGAACGTAGTTCGTGAATAATAAAAATACGATACATATAATGAAGATGATCGAACCTGGCTCAAGCAGCCTACCTATCCAAATGGAATCAGGTCAAGACGTACATCAATTACAACAGATGCAAAATGATGAGATTAAGAATGAAATGGACAAGTCTGACTTAGACTGCCTACGTATCCAAATGGAATCAAGAGAGAACATACTTAAATTACCAAAGAAGGCTGAATCCGATGAGGATTGTCTACATATTCCTTTTTGAGGAAATCAAGTCGGCGTAGTTCCTAGAGGAACATAGAAAATGATATATGGATTTTCTATTACAAAAGAAGGAAGGGAGAGAAATCGAACCCTACGTGGGTCGCCTACGTATCCCTCCATGGGATGTCAGGTTGAACGTAGTTCTGTTACAACAAAACCTTAATCTATTTGTTTTCAAACATATTATCTCTTGATTGCATCTAAGTTGATGAGCTTTGTGTTGACTCTTCCATCCATTTCTGCCAAACTTAGAGCTCCGCCCGACAACACTCGATGAACCATGTAAGGGCATTGCCAATTTAGTGCAAATTTTCCTTTGTCTTCTTCCTTGTGGGGGATGATTTTGTTTAGAAACAATAGCCCCGGTGTGAACTGACGAGGCTTCACCCTTTTGTTAAATGCTTTGTCCATACGCACATTCCTTCATGTATTTCTTCCAATAATCTGGTTGCCTCGGTGGCATCTACATATCTCAACAAACCCAAGTCTGGAGTCCTCCTGTAACAAGACTTCCCTGTTAAGGAAAAAGTGATTTTCTAGCCTCTTGCGAGCTTTCTTTTGACTATTATTAGCATTCTCCAGATACTCTCTTATTTCGAGGAACCCGTTGACATCGTGGTACCACAGTTTACCATCTAGCTCTTCATCTATGTAAAAGTAGTAGTCATATTGATCCGTTATCTCTACCTCAATAGGGTCGATATAGTTCTTGTTTTGATGCTGAATCATGGATGATGTAGTTGCAAGGACATCGTCAAAGTCGTTCTGAATCATGGGAATGTGCTTGAAGTCAATCTTTGTGAACTTGCATAACGTTTTTACACAGTGCAAGTACGGAAAGATCTTGACATTTTTGGTAGACCACTCCCCTTGGACTTGGTGTATCAATAGATCGGAAACCCCTATGACTAAAAGTTCATTGATGTTCATGTTGACTGTCATTTTGATCCCAAGGATACATGCTTCGTATTCAGCCATATTTTTGATACAAAGGAATCTTATCTTTGTCGATGCTGGATAGTTCTGTCCGGATTCCAAAACTAGGACAACCGCAATTCCTACTCCTTTGAAGTTCCCTGCTCCGTCGAACCACATTCTTCATCTAAGGTATGACCATGAAATATCTCCTCCACTGAATAATACCTTTTCATCTGGAAAATATGTAGTGATCGGCTCGTAATCCCTATCAACCGAATTCTCTATGAGGTGATCAGCTAAAGCTTGCCCTTTGATGGTCTTTTGAGTTATGTACAACTATCAAATTCACTAAGGAGAATTGACCATTTAGCTAGCTTTATGTAGGCATTGGCTTCTGAAAGATGTACTTGAGCCGGTTGAGTAAAGATATCAGATGCGTAGTGTATGCTGACATGTAATGCCTTAGTTTCTGGGCGATCCAAGTCAGAGCACAGCAAGTGCATTCTATCAAAGTGTATTTGCCCGCGCATGGTGTGAACTTCTTACTTAAGTAGTAGATGGCCTGCTCCTTTCTCCCAGTTTTGTCATGCTGTCCCAACACACCTCTGAAGGCATTATTAAAGACTGACAGATATAGTAATAATGGATTCCTAGGCTCGGGGGAAACCGGCACTGAGATTTGTCCAATACTCCTTAATTCTGTCGAAGGCTTTCTGACACTCTTCTATCCATTTTGCGGCGACAGCCTTTATCAACAACTTTAAAATATGTTCACAGATTACTATGGACTGGGCTATGAAATGATTGATATAATTTAGTCTACCCAAAAAACTCACCACATCTTTCTTACTCTTGGGCAATGGCAACTCCTGAATGGCCTTCATTTTTTATGGGTCCAGTTCCATCCTTTTCTTACTTACGATGAAGCCTAATAATTCTCTAGTAGGGACTCCGAACGCGTATTTTTCTAGGCACAACTTCAAGTTGTACATTTGCAGGCACTCAAAAATTTCTTGAAATCGTCCAAGTGACCTAAACTCTTCTAAGACTTGATGACGACATCATCCATGTATATTTCGATCTCCTTGTGAAACATATCCTGAAAGAGGGTCATCATAGCCCTCATATAAGTAGAATCAGCATTCTTGAGACCGAACAACATGACTCTGTAGCAGTAAACTCCCCAAGGTGTGGTGAAGCCCGTCTTTTCAACATCATCCTCGTGTATCAAGATCTGGTGGAATCCAACAAAACAATCCACGAACGACTGTAGTTCATGCTTCACATAGTTGTCGAGGAGGATGTGGATATTTGGTAAAAGGAAATTGTCTTTTGGACTAGATTTGTTTAGATCTCGATAATCCATGCATATCCTAATCTTTCCGTCTTTTGTGGGTACTAGGACAATATTTGACAACCAGTTGGGATAATTGGTGACCCTTTACTCAATTTGCCTCTATGTTCTTGGTTACTTCTTCCTTTATCCTAAGACTCAAGGCGGGCTTGAATATTCTGGGTTTTTTCTTGAACGACGGTCCGGCGGGATCAGTAGGAAGTTAATGTGAGACAATGTCTGTGCTTAATCCCAACATGTTATCATATGGCCATGCAAAAACAGTTGATGCAAGACAATGTCCATGCTTAATCTCGGCAAGTCATCATATGGCTATGCGAACACAACGATGTATTGTTGGAGGAGCTCAATCAGTTCTTTCTTCTGCTCCGCTTCTAGATGGATGCTGATTCGGATTTCTTTGACGTCTTCTTTGCTTCTAAGATTCACCATTCTATTTCTTCTAGGTTAGATTTTTCTAACTCTCCAGTTATTCAATCTCTTGTGGTAGATTGTCTAGCATAATACTCTCATCATATTCCTCGTAATCTGGGTCGTTTCACTCAACGGTTTCGCTATATGTCACAATCATGGAACACAGGTTTTATCGGTTTGATTACTGAAAAGAAAAAACTAAGTATAAATGAAGCGGTAAAAAGAGTAGCAACATTTTAAGAATACGATTCTTTTTATTTCATCACAGAAGAACATTTGTGCATTCAAAAGAGGCAAATAACAAAAGGGTATAGACACGATGTAGGCCTCAATTAACTGTGCATTTTTTAAAAGAAAACTTTTACAATTCCACACTACCAAGACTCTCAACGAACCAAAGACGGGCTGGCAGTCCAACTGCACAATTCTTCCCCTGGTTTGGCATTTCGAATGGTCATGTCTTGATGTATGTTCCTTTACAGCATTCTTCAATCATAGTCACAAACAGCTTTCCCATTCCATCGATGATATCATCTTCTGGTGCTGAACTCTGGCCCATACCCAAAACATGTTCTAGAACAAACACTTTTCCCGGAGCTACCGGTATGAGTTTTCCCCATCGGGGGGTGATATCCTACAGTGGCCCTTTCTTTCCACACATTTCGCTCAATTGGTTCTGTAATCCCGTCTAATATGGATCATAGCCCAGTTACTGGTCTGTATACATATTTTATCATATTTCTCATGGCCATCTTTGATCTATATGGCGACTGCATTTTCTACTTTTACTCAGTCTCTTCTATTTCAATGGTCTGCATGATTTCCACTACATGGAAAGCAACTCTGTCTAGCCCTTCAATAAACGGGACTGCATGCTCCAAATAAGCTGATTGTCCCCATTCGCCATGGACCATGATCTCTTGACACCCCACTCAAATTTCATGTACTGGTGAAGGGTGATTAGGATGGCCCCTGCCATATGTATCTAGGGTCTTCCTAGCAGTAAGTTGTATGAAGAAGAAATATCCATTACTTGAAACAAAAATGGCGGACTCAACTGGTCCGATCTGCAAAGCCAAATAAATTTCTCCAATAGCATCCTTCTACAAACCATCAAAAGCCCTTACCCTCACATGGCTTTCCTTGACTTCCCTCAGGTGGTTTCCTAATTCCAGCAGAGTAGAGAGAGATTAGATGTTGACTCCTGACCCTCCATCAACCAGTACTTAGGACACCACCTTGTCCACACTTTTGAAAGTGATATGTAGAGCTTTGTTGTCACTCACACCTTCGATAGGAAGCTCATCTTTTTTGAAAGTTATCATATTCACTTCGACCATTTTCCCAATAGTTGCATCCAGTGCCTCACTGGTGGTGTTGCTTGGCACACTCACCCCACTTAGTACACTAATGAGGGCATCCATATGACTGACGGAGCTCATCAGTAAGTCCATGATTGATATTTGCGTTGGAGTTTTCTTTTACTGCTCCTCCATGGAGTATTCTTTGGTCGACATTCTCTTCCAGAATTATGTGGCTTCAGGGTCTGTTATATGTTTTCATTGAATTTTCTATCTTCCCAAATTCCCTCGATTTACATCTTTGGGAGCATAGCATCTCCCTGAATTAATCATACTGTTGGATGCTGCGAAGTCTGTCATCTTGTCTTTACCCTTTTGCTGCTATGTCTATGGGACAGTTTTGTATTCAAGACTCTCTTCGTCCCATGTAGCAACGGCAGGTTGTCGCTGATAAGTCTGAACCGTTATCGTGGGTCTCACTTGTAATGTGATCATCGGAGTCTTTCGAGGTGGGATACTTGCGGCCTTTGTATTTCTTATCATGACAATAGTTCTTCTCAAATCATATTCGTCATCCAAAGCGATCATATTGACCCCCTGATTTCGGTAATTTAGCAGCAGGTTGCGATTCACATTGGGCGGGGCCGGAGTGCACTGAATGGCTTCCCTTTTAATCAATGTCTCAATTTTATTTTTCATCTTAAAACAATCTTTAGTAACATGCCCAGACACGTTTTAATGGTACAGACACCTTTTTGTTGCATCAAAATACTTTGAGGGATACTCAGAAACCCTTCCTTCCACTAGATGTATCAGTCCTCCTCTCCTCAATCTTTGAAACAATTGGGGTAGAGGCTCGGTAATCGGGGTATAATTTCTAGGACCCCTCTCTTCAAAATTTGAACGAGGGCATGGTGCATAAGTGGGTCAGTTTTGATGAGTGCTTGTTTGGACAGGAGCATATGGTTGTTGTGGATTCGAGTTGTTATAGGCTCGAGTAGGGTTATATTAAGGTTGGGGTGGTAATATGGTTGTGTGTTATAGACTAGAGCGTAGGTGGGTGGTGGTGAATGGTTGTTTTGGGAATAAGAAGTGCTTCCATGATGTGGGTTGGGTTGGTAGTAAAGGATGACTGCTGAGACTTCTTCCTTTTTCTTCTTTCAGCTACTGATTGACCCTGATTGGATTGCCTTGATGGACGCTTTCAGTGCAACCATGGATTGTACTTTGCTAGAGTTTATACCTTTGTCTAAGAAATCTCCCATCTTGACCAATTCGGGGAATTTCTGTCCCATCATACCCATCATTTTTTCAAAGTATATCCCTTCCTGGGCCTTGATGAAATACTTGGTTAATTCACTTTCAACTAATGGAGGTTATGCCCTGGCAACTTCTAACCTCCATCGATGTGCATATTCTTGGAATGACTCGGACGGCTTCTGCTACAGGTTTACCAGTGCGAGCCTATCGGGAGTGATTTCTGTGTTGAATTAAAAGTGACTCATGAAATCTTCCGCCATATATTTCCATGTTCTCCAGCTTCGCTGATCTTGTCGAGTATACTAGGTAAGTTTTTCTCCCGTCAGGATTCTTATGAGTAACATCATTCTCAACTTCTCGTTCCTTCCCACTCTTACTAACTTGTCACAATATGCCCTCAAATGTTTATGAGGATCACTCGGCCCATCGAAGATATCGAACATTGGAGGCTTATACCCCACTGGTATATCACATTCGGATGGATAAACAAATCTTCATAGTTCAAACTCTCACTTCCCCGAGCGACTTGGAGGTTCTTCATTTGTTTTCTTAAGATTTGTAGCTGCTAAGATATTGTCTCCTCTTCTGTATCCCTAGCTTCCCTTTCCATCTCTACATAATTGTCAATATCATAAGGTACCCTAACTGTGACATGTGTTATAAAGGTAGGTTCTGAAATAACATGTACAGGAGGAACATATCATTGGTATATGTTGGCTTTGGTGAGTGGTAATAGTGACTCTGTCACAAAGAGGGGTGTGAGTTGTGTTAGTGGTAATGGGCGAGTTTTGTGGCATTTGAACATAACCTGGTATGTAGGGAGTATGGATAAGAGGATTTGGTGGGTT